AGATATTTCACTGAATCTGACCAAAAACAGCTAAAAGAGAGAAAGTGGACTCAGATTCATCAGGTGGAAACAAACAAAACTACAAATCAATGATCATATCACTCTAAAAGCAACAAGTTCACAGCTTGTTTCCGCTGCCCCGAGTTGCCCAAAAAGCCTTTAGAAACATGTGAAAAGATGCATATTTTCTCCTGCTGGTGCCAACAGGGTTCAGGTGAGCTGGGATTGTCTGAACTTGAGTAAAATATGTGCATGATGCAGTGAAGTGGAAGCTAATCAGTGTTGGATTTCTTAAACATCAGCAGAAATCAAACCAGCTGAGTTGTGGCTTGTGGTTATCCTGAGCGCCATGACATCAGTGCTGGAGCCTGTAAAGAGGTTTTAAAACGTTTAACAGTCAGAGGAAGTTTAATAATCACAGACAGAAATCTGCTCAATGCACTGAATATACAAGGCCTGATGGTGGCCTGATGGTGGCACTAAAGAGATCTGCAGTGAGCTTCATCAACCTTTTCTCATCTAAGCACCTCCCCTTTTTGCTCTGTGCTCCAATCACAGTTGAGTAAGCCTCAGTCAACTTCCTTCTTTTACTGTACTTATATATGCTACATGCTAGGCTAATCTATGTTGAAAAGACAGCCACATTTTAAAGATGATTAAAAGATAAGAGAGACAAATATGTAGTCACATCTTAAATTTAGCTAATGTTAGCAAAACTGACTAGCTAGCTAATCTACATCACCTGTCGACTGCCTGCCCTTTTCCAAACTTCCCAGATGGTTCTGATTTGAAGCCGGATGCAGAACATAAATAAGTAAACTAACACCTGAAATGAACAAACAACCTCTCTCTGGTTTCTGTGCAGTATGTTAAACTACACATTGTTCACATACTTCCCCGCATTAATATCTCCACAATGGGGCAGATCGGCCCCACGGCTCGCATTAAACCGCTCGGATCGAAGCCGGTCCTGGCGTGTTTTTATTGGACGAATTCTTCCGTTTCTGTTGATCTGCTCTTACAGACGTGTGACTGTTACAGTAGAGAATTAATGCACTTTACCGTAGAAGAGCTGAGCTGCAGAGAAAACAGACTGCTGAGTAAATAACTATCGTTGATTTAATGTGCAGCTTGTTTTTTTTCTGGAAACGCCTCGAGGCTGCAGCAGCTGGACAACCACTTTCCCAGGATGCTTTACTGCTCAAAGACCCAGAAGGGGTCTGTGTACATATATATATGTGTGTGTGTGTGTGTCTGTGTGTGTGTGTGTGTGTGTGTTCAGTCACTTGGGCATATATCCAGATGGTACCATTGCTCGACTGTCCTGTTGGTCTGAGCTCTGCACACTCACATACAGGTTTGCACTTGTATTCTTGTAAAGAACTTCATTGACATAAACCCTAAAACCAAGTCTGAAGGTTTCAGGGTCAGTTGGTTCCTGTAGCTGGCTAGCTAAATGCTAATATGCTAGCCATCCAGGAACGTATGACAGCTTAGTGTCTGTGGAGCTTTTCAGTCATCCAGCCCAAGAGTGAACCCATTGGTTTGTGGAGTCCCCTTTTGAAGCCTCAAGTTCAGCCAGTGCAGTACTGCGAGTTGAGCTGTTCTCATTGGCTGCACAGTTTTGACTCATCTGTAGCAGGAAACAATGGCAGCTCGTCTGGTATTGGATCAGCACTGCCTAATTTGTTGAGTTTGGTGCGTTGAGCTGGACGGACTCACTGAGAATGAGTCGATCACGAGGTAGCCCCGCCCTAAAGCATACTCTGCTTTGACGAATTGATGAGAAATACAGACTTGCGAAGGCCTTCGGTCAAGAGCAACTGGACTTTAGGTTCTTAAAGATATTTTGCTGCTCATCCAAAACTTCAGTTCCGACTCACAAATCTCCAATCTTTCTGTCTGTTTGCAAGATAGCCAGTAGAGGGTGATACATCCAACCGCTGGCCAACGGAAATAAATCCAAGGGTTAGTTTTGTGGTTCTCCGACAACTCTGAAGTCACTTACCGTAGTCCGGCGCTGCTGTCTGATCCAGATAAAGGTCAGCCTGAGAGTTGGGTGGTTTGATGGAGGGTCTACAGAGTAATTAAAGGATGGAGGTGGAGAATAATCCGGTACTTTTTGGTTTAAATGCCGGCACTGGTATTCCCTGAGCTGACTGAACTGGGAACGGTTGCTACACGTACCTAAACCGGGACCGTTGGAGGACAGGGAATGAAGTACAGAAGAGTTTTTATTGCCGGTTTTGGCAAGGCGGTAAGTCAGCTGCACGAGCTAACTAGCTCATGGCATCCAACATTACAACAGTTAGCTTCCTTTATGAATGAGAAATATGGGAACAGTATAACTGAGGATGTGATCTTAAAGGGTTAAATTTCACCTGGACTTTAAAGACGTAACCCTCAGCTGAATGAATGTTAACTGTTATAGTTATTATTATAGATTGATTCAAACAGGATATTTCCACAAACACTCTGCTTTTAGAGAGCTTAGTGCTTTCCTATCTGTTGAAATGAAACATCTTCTAGCTGCTGAAATCATGAACCTGTTGAACCTCTGTGACATTTGGAAACACATTTACGTTCTAATTTAATTTAATGGATTCAAATTCGGCGTTTAACTCGTCCGTGTGTGTCTGCGCGGCGCTCATTGGAAAGGGCATGAGCAGACTTCTTGTTCTGCTGAAACTCAGCACCCGTCTCCCCCCCGACTCTCCTCCCTCCCTCTCGCTCTGTTCGCTCCATTTAACTGAAGCCACCAGCTACATGAATACCCATGAACAGCCAGGAGCTCTGCCAACAGCTCCATTACAATGTGCACTCCACCTCCTCTTCATCCCTCCCTCCCTCTCTGTTTTCTCTCGTGACGTGTTTGACTCTGTTTTGACCTAAAATACAGCTTCAGTTTTATCGTGATTCATCTCCAATTGTTTTTTAAAGTTATTATTCAGAAAAACTGTGTAAAACTTGGTGGTTTTTTTAACTTTAACCAGAATGCAAGGACTTTTAGTCATCGGTCTTAAGTTATCAGAGAAACAAGCGGAGCTAACGTTAGCAGCAGAACGGCTCAGTCCGTTAGCATGACATCATAACCTGGGACCTGTTAGCTTTAGCCTCTGGTTTATGAAAAGGTGTAAACAACCCATCTGTTTGTCTGTTTCTTTATTCTGACTGAGGTGTTTAAATGGAGCATTTTTATTCAGTTTGGACTTTTAAACTGATTATAATTGTAATATTAGGCTCCATTTAAATCTAATGTTTTCCAGCCTGGTGTAAAGTTATTCTTTAAAGGTTAAATATATGAGATTATGAACATTAATATATCAGCAAACAGCTGTTCTCTATGTAAAGATAAAGAACATGGTGTCTCTCTCCCTCTTATGTTGCATGTGTTGTATCGCAGCCTCTGTGGTTTGTTTCCATATGGAGGATTTATTTCCACCAAACCAGAGTTGGTGATTGTTGGAAAGACTAACAGAGACGGTTTTGGTGAGTTTTATTTAGTTTCTGTCCACTTTGAAGTCTGTTTTACAATTATCTGTTAAGTAAATGGTTTTGTGAGTGGAGTCTGGTGGCCCGTAGAGATGCTGGACATGGGTTTATGTGGCCGAGCTGACTCTGGCTGTCTGATGTAATAATCTCATCTGAAGAGAGCGAGACCTGCAGATTTGAATTAGTTCAGTCTCTTCCTGACATGTAGCCAGACCGCTTACGCTAGCTAGCCAGCTGTCTGCAGATGTCAAGTCACACAAACAGCAGCAGATGAATTAGAGAGCGGAAATTCTTTTCTGCTCGCTGCAGAAACTAATTATTAAAGTGGCTGCGCTGTACTTCATCTTCATCATCTGGTGCTGACAGTCAATAGCTGTCCATAAGCACTATCGGTTTTAAATATGCAGCCCTGCAAGTGGTGCAGGACATTTTTATAATGCTTGCTTGACTATTTACTCCTTTAAAAGTATATCGAAAGTTAGTTATAATATCAATTTAATTATCAGTATAAAGAGTATTTCTGTGTATTACAGGAAAGAAAGTTAAGGAAATCTTGACCAAGGTACAATAGTGTCAAAAGAAACAGAAAAACTAATAAAATATCCAGTAAGACTTTATATTAAGGTGCATATTCACCATTAACTTGCTTATTTGCAAACATATTATAAGCATATTGGCTCATTATTAATCATTATAAATTCCCTGTGAATTAAGACTTCATTTAGAGTTATTTGACATTATTAACAAGAATCGACCACATTTATTAAAGCTGTAACATTTCCACATTAAACAGTGTATAAACTCCAGAGATATGTTCTATATGTAGTTAACTTGTGTATTAACATTATTCCAAATGTTTCCAACAATTACAGATTGTGCGTTTAAGTGTTATTAAGAGAGAATGTACTACCGCTTTATATACTGAGCAAAGAACATTAAGATCATACAGTAATTCATGTACAACAACGTCTTCATAGTAGTTGAGTGTAATAATGCAGAATAAGCCATTAATAAGTGCTTTATAAAGACTAATAAAGAACTAATAAGCAGCTAGTTAATAGTGAATGTGTGTAATGTGTGTGTGTTTCCTGAAGGTTAACACTGAGAAACGTTGGCAGTTTGTTAAGTTTAACCACAAAAACTACTAGTTAGGTTTAATTATTAGAGATTAGTTATTCTCCCAGACTTTAAAAAGCTCCACCAGAGACATTAAACAACTTCTTTTGTGTCTCTTTAACAACTCCAGACTTTAGTTTTTGCCTCCTCCTCAACCTCCCTGTTGACATTATCTCAAAGCGCTGCAGCAAGTTTCCCTTCACCGAAACAAAGAGGACACTAAAGTATCTGTCCACATACTTTTGGCCACATAGTGAGTGTCTCTTTCTCCTCCCCAGGCCTCCTCCCCTCTCCCTCTCTCTCCCTCTCTCTCCCTGTGTGTGTGTGTGCACATTTGCCTCCTGTATTTATTTCATTTTGTCCTCTCTGCTGCCGATTCCTCCCCCTTTCCAGTGAGGGTAGAGAGGGATTTCTGAGCCTCCCCATTGGTTCACAGCAAGGACAAAGCCCTTCCCTGCTCCCCTCTCCCTCCCTGTCTCTCTCGCTCTACCTCTGCCTGAGCGAGAGAGAGAAAGGGAGGGAGGGAGAGTGAAAGTGGAGAGGCAGGCAGGCAGACTTGTTGCAACAGATGGCTTTACCAGCGGCGGCTCGGCGGCGGCTGCACCGAGGAGGAACTCTGGGACGCCGTTGAAGACGGAAGGTGGAGAGAAAAAGGGGGGGTGGCAGAAAGTCACACAGCGAGTTCTTCCTCCCTCTTCGTCCACAAACTCTTCCTCTCCGGACAGACAGGAAGACATGTCAGTGTGAGTTTTGTAGCAGCAGTTTTATGGAGGAGAGGACTGTGTGATCCTTCATCCTCCTCCTCCTCCTCCTTCTCCTCCTCCTCCTCCTCCAGGGGTCAGAGAGGAGAACACCTGCTGACAGTGAGGAGCTCCTGAAGGAGACGCAGCAGCAGCAGCAGCAGGAGGTACAGGAGTGTTTATTCTTCATCATTTTCCTGCAGGAGCGTCTGTGCTAACGCTGCTCTGACAGTGAGTGTGTGTGTGAGATCCTCAGTTCTGCTCTACTTCACTGTGTCTGCGGTCGGAGCCGCTTCGGTACTGTGCTCCACTTTGCTGATGTGCTCCTTGCCGTAGTTTTGAGGCCATGTTGTACTTACACTTGTCACACTTGTTTGCAGGAGTAACTGTGTGTGTGTGTGTGTGTGTGTATGTGTGTGTGTGTTTATTGCTTCCTGCTTACAGGACACGTGGGAGTGTGTTTTAGCTGCGCAACACTGAGGTCAGTGAGGAGAGGGAGGGAGGGAGGAGAGGGAGAAATAAAGAAGGGAGGATGAATGAAGGAAGGAAGGAAGGGAGGAAAGCTGTTCCACCCAGCTCTGTTTTTATTATAATCATATTTTTTATGCTCCATTTTTCCGAACTTAGTAACAAAGGGCTTCACAGGGAATATAAACCTACAAAGCAGGCAGTAAAACAGAAGTAAAAACAAACTGTGAGGCTGTAAAGAAACCAAAATGTAAGAAAAGTTTCTGATCTTCAGCCTGAATTCAACCAAACAAAAGGTTCCAGTTCCCCAATTCAGCACGATGGACCTGAAACGTAACGTTCAGGGTTCCTAGAAGTCCAGGAAAGAGCAGTTTGGAAACACCTGGAAGTTTGTTAAAATCACCAAATATCCTGGAAATAATCATGTTTGTATGAGCGAGAATACAGCGCAACGCGTTATCATCCACATATATAAAGAGTGAATCCAGACCCTCTCTATGGCCCCCTGGTGGCTGACTGCAGGACAGCAAATACAGCCTCCATGTTACCAGATGGAACAAACAAAAAAAATCTAATTACACTCCAACAGCTCCGATTTCGGACTTCCAAGCAACATGGAATGCATCATAATTTCTCAATCTCTCAGTCAAGTTAGAAATACAGTAATAAATATCCAATATTCAGTTTCAATATAAAGCTTTTATGAAAGTTAACGTTGTGACTTCGACAGCGAGAACTGATCCTACGGCGTCATCGTTGTGTGACGAAAGGTTCCTCTGGGGAACATGGCTGCCAGTCGCCATCTTTAGAGCCACGTCAAACTCCTAATTCTAGTTTTCATTTCAAGTTTTAATGGAAAAGGGAAGAAGTGAAAACAGCATCAGGTGTGAGTCAATAATCTGTATGAGGACTCAATATATTCCCCACCAGGAAGTGTAGGAATAAAATGTTCCGTGGTTCATGTTTATTTTTAAAAGTGTGTTGGACCGAACCAAAATCATTTTTATGCATTTCCCACAATTCCAAAGTTTGCACATTGAGAGGATTTAACAGGTTAGCTTCCAGTGGGGAAAAACTTCATACCAAATAAATAATAATGTGATTAGATTGACAACTAATGCTTTAAGTAAACAGATTATCCTCATATTAGAAAATATGTAAGTTTATACATATACGTATTTTGTTGATTTCTTTCAAAATAAAAGTCTGCATTTACACTGAATCGTGGATTTAAGAATTAAACATAGAAGTATTTGTCTGAGTGCTACTAAACTGAGAGTCTTTAACAAACAGATATACATTTAACATTAATATGAAATAAAGCACATGTTACATATTTACTGCTGTATTTTAGGGACAGATTGATATTTTCTCAGTATTAAATACATTGTTAGCAATCGAACACCCAAACAGTTCCAGCTTCTCAACTGTTTTCTACTATTTTCAGACAGTTTATTTTAATTTGTGGCCTGTTTCTCCTGTTTGAATATTTCTGATAAAAGCCGTCTGAACTCACCTGCAGACGTCTGACAGAGTGACTCTAGCATCAGGAATACTGCGGTGGTCGGCGGTTGGCGGGAACTGTTACGATTTGGTCACTGGGTTCCCACCATCACACACACACACACACACACACACAGGAGGGTAAATAAGGCTGATGGCTACTTTGCAACCGCTGGAATGTAAACATTCACTGACCCTGACTCTTCAAATATTAACACACACACACACACACACACACACAGCTGTTAAATGTTAAATTTCATATAATAAATTATTCTCAAAACAGTTGTAGTCACCATTAAAATTAAACTACAATAAACTAACATGTATGTAACATTACGAGCCAATGGGAAGAGACCTCCTATGTTTCACTTCCTGATATAAAATCTAACAGATTAAAACTTTTACTCATTTTCATTCAGATTGAAACTCTAACAGAATCTTATGTGTAAAAAAATCATTTATAAGTGAAATATAACCCAAAAAAAGTTATAATATTCAAATATACAAAGAAAATATAACTTTATCTTAAAGACGTTTGTTAGCATTCGCATTTCAACATCAGCAAGGTGTGAAAAAAGGAAAAATGCTAACGTTAGTCAGCTGATCGGCTGTTAAAGATTAGCTTGTACTTTGTGATATTGTTTAAGTTGTCCTCTAACTGTTTAACATCAATATCAGTTTCTACAACAAACATCAGGCTTAGCTTAGCTTCTCCAACATGCTAACATTACCTGCCCATTATGTAACATCAACTACGCTATATTTCTATTTTTTTACAGTTAATTAACAAACAACAAGACAGAATATTTTTAACTATTATGTTGACACTATGTAAACACTTGAGCATAAAATCAAAATGAATATGTTTTGTTTATTCCCTCGCAGCGGCGTCCACCTCTCTGCCATTGAGGGACTGTAATTAACGGCGCTCACTGATGTTTCCTTTATTGATGGTTCCCTATTGATGAGCGTGTGGTCTGACTGACGGCCGTGTGCTGTGTCAGGACGGGGATTAACAGGCAGTGTGAGTCCTGCTGTTTGCTGCTCTCGGGGGAATTTTCCCTCCTTGCTGTGCGTGGCGAGGACCGAGGACCCGCCGGCAGATATTTCAGTCCAACAATGAGCAGAAAACGAGCGGCTCTGTGTGAGTGTGTCGCTGCCTGAAGCTGCCTCTCTTCTCGTTGTCCTTTGACCTCTCGACCTTCTGTTCTCTCCGTCTTTCTGTATTTCCACTGTTGTCAAACTGTCTCTTCACATTTAGTCAGGAACGCTGTCAGCTGGTTTCGCGACATGTGACCGCGACTCCACGTGAGCTCGGACTTATTTCATGAAGAAAAGCTTTACATTCCTTCTGCTTTTAGCCTCTTTGTCCAAAGGTTTCAAAGCTATGAATGTGTTTAGTGGAAGAAAAGAAAGTCATTTTAACCCTTTAAGATCACATCCTCAGTTATATTCTTCCCATATTTAACAATTTATCCCCAAAAACATTCACAAAAACTCAATTTCTATGTGTTTTTATATCAAAATCCAATAATTTTGAGTGTATGAAAGCACAAACTAACTGATTTCAACCAATAATATCATGACATCCACAATCAATCTTCAACTTTTAGCGACACAGAGCGAAGATTAATTTCTGTACAAACACACAACTTTATCAGTGGTTTGGGTGAAACTGGATCATATTTGACGACAGCAGTACCGATGTGATTTATGCAGTTTCCTGATGGACTTGTTGCTAAAAGAAGCGAACTGTCGCCAAACAGTAATGTTAGCTACCGTTAGCTAACTTAGCCTCAGAGTTCCTGTCCTCCGTGAGTTAATGTGGGGACGTAACACACAACGCTAATATCCATAACTGCCTGAAATACACAAATATGTGGGCAGATCTATAAAGTATAGACTATAGATTTAATATAAAATAACATTTTCATTAAAACAAACAGTTAATAATAATAATATTACTGAGAACAGGAAGATGATTAATCGTTGTGTTATGTAACGAGTCGCAGGTTTGATTCCCACTGAACACACAGTGACCTCACCGCCCAGCGTCAGCTGATCTGGCTCGGTCCAAGGTCGATACCATGGCAACAGAGCCTGGTGACCTTTAAACCTGCTGCAGCCTGCCACTGTGTGTGTGTGTGTGTGTGTGTGATTCCTCTCAGCATTGTTTTATGTGTTCGATCGTTTCTGCTCCGACAAGCAGGACGACAAACAGAGGTTTAAGTTTGAAAATCAACCTTCCACAATAAAAGTCAGGGACAGAACTTGTTATTTATCACCAGTGTTTTTCCATTATCATCAGTGTGTTTGTGTTCTGTAATTTAATCTCCTTCATTGTTATCATCAATGTTTCCGTTCTTAAAGAGATTCAAATTACAAATTCAGATTCACAGGAAACGATGCAGCCACACGTTTAATGTAACGTAGAGGAAGAACTGTGGTTGTTCCTCTATAGTTCATGAATAGACTTATTTTGACCTAAAGTTTGTGTCTCAACTGTCCAGTTTATTTAACTCTGACACAGTTTATGGATCCGTGCACGCAGAAGTATTCAAATACACTAAAATAACACATTTATACAACTAACTGCTGCTACTCGTTGGTTCCCATAGAGCTCATTTACTTGAGGTCAGAGGTCAATGGATCCATTTTAAAATGGTTATTTAGCCTCCTTGCTAGCATGACGTGGTCGGTACCAATGGATGCGTTAGTTAGTCTGGTTTTATATGGCACCAGTATCTTCACTCTAACTTTTGGTCCAGAGGAACAGAACTTTACTCCCAGCCAGAGACCTTTAATCCAACACCACGAGTAGAAAAGTTCCAGTTTGAAACAAAAAATATGAAAATTAAACCTGAAAATCTCATTCCTGCATTGAAGAATAAATCAGTACACTACAAAAATAAGAAATATGTGGTAATAATCTGGTGGCTGGAGCGCCAAAGAAATACAGTAAAATAATGGCTCATAAATAAATGTAACCAAATGTGTAAATCTTCTTTTTATTAATTTTTTTTGGCTTTTAATGTTTAATTCAATGTTTTTGTTGTGAAAACTTCCATAATTATACGAAGATATCTGTCAATTAACAAACAAATCCATGTAAAATTACATAATTTTAGACATTTAACAGTATTAAACTTGAATTTAATACTTTAATCTATTAAATAAACAAAAAATATCTACA